TCCCAGGTAAAACTGCAATGCTTCACCAGATGTCTTTTGTGCAGCACCACTGATGATTCTCAAAGATTGATTCAGCACCTTGTCCATTTTACTAAACTGAGTCTTAGAAATCGGGCAACACAAGTGTAATCCATATTCCAACCGACTAACTATTGTGGCTCTTACCAATGTAACCAGACTTTTTAACTGAATATTTTGACCAGCCGCATAACGTATCACTCCTAATGCTTTCTTAGGTTTATTGATGTTGTTGGCGATGTGAACCGGTTGCTTCGACCTTTTCGTTGACTCCAGAAGATTAGTGCACACATGACTATCAAGTGGATTACTGCAAAACTCTGGTAGGAAAGAATGGAACCACTTCAAAGCGGGATGAACTAAAACTAACGTACTATACGAATTGGAATCCCTATAAACCTTAACCAGATAAGCAAGCACCGTCGGAACGTTGAGAGGAGGAACGGAGTTCATGCCGAAAGCCACACACCACGCACTGAATTTCTCAATTTCCTTGCGGTACCTAAGTGAAGTAGAATTAGCCTTGGATTTAGTCCATTGTGAAATAAATGGTTTTAACTCGGGCCTTGCGCCACAAGTTAGCTTCTTCCAAAGATGGGAATTTTGGAACATCTGAAACATACAAATGGTGAATTGAATAGAAAATTAAACAAAATAAATGCATGACCCCTTCAACTCAACTAGACAAACCTCAGGTACTTGCTTTATACGTGCACAATGACTAATAAGGCAAGCGCCCTCAAAGTAACAAAACTAAATAATAATCAATCATATCAAACGGGCAAGCGCCCTTCAAATAGGCCTGCGCCTTGACACTTAACATGAACATAGACCAATGACCAAGATATATATGTATTCTCTAGGGAGAAACACTGAAATCAAAACGAAAGAGCCAAGCTAGACCTGCCCTTTCTAACAATCCGAACCTAACAAAGAATTTGAATTCCGACCATGACGCAAAGCAAAACTTCCATCGAAAACTTCACGACCTATRATATAATGAACATAAATCCTAGAAATAATAGGCAAAAAATACGAGGGAGGCCAAAATGGAACAACCAGAGTACACACTGCATAGTTAATGAAAGGAAATTAATAGCCTTCCCGATCATGTCTACTTGCGGAACAACTAAACAGTTCTCTCCACATAATCTTTGAACAAAGAAATCCACGCCCTCACATCCTGTATTCCAAGATCTAGAATAGGATATTTGCCAATCATCTACGTCTATCAGGCGACTGATGTAATCGGCCCTATCAATTTCGTTACGAGGGAGCCATTGAATTTCTAGCTGGATATTGTTTGACACACAGAGCTGAAAAACCCTAGTGGCTATAACATGGAGATCCTTCTTCATGCTCCCCACTTGAATAATTCTACACGAAATTTGGCTATCAGAAAACCATTTGACATAACAGTTCCTAATTAATGGCAAAAATGACTCAATTCCATGCAAACTCAATAGCAGACAGCTCTCTCCACGTAGAACTCTTAATGCGTTCCTGATCTTCCCATTGTTTATGACATACTTTCTCTCCATCGAAATCGAGATGGGCTCCGCAGCCAACTCCACTCGCATCAGAACAAACTATGAAATGGGATTTCAGAGCAAGCTCATGGGAAATACGTTTAAGGTTCAACGGACCCACGTTGCGCTCCTAAAACTTTATTTCCCTTATGCAATACTCATCGAGATCGAATTTGCTATACCAGTCTTGGGCAGCAGCAATGGAAATGGAACAATATCTGGTCATTATTCTTGAATGATTTCCATATACAACCCCAGCAGAAATAATCTTTCCTACAAAAGAACTTAATTCCCGATCTGAGACGACACACTGATGATTGCCAAAAATACGTAAAATAGCATTCTTTATACTATCAATTCTTTGATCAGAGGTGCGCAAAGTTCCTTGGGCACTATCCCACACTAAACCCAACCACTGCATAGATTGCTGCGGATCCCAAATTGACTTCTCGTCATTAGTAACAAGGCCTGCACTAATTAAGTCCCTTTTAACCTGTTTAGATACTAAACTGATGTGGATTCAGAATCCAAAAAAAAAATCCATCATCAAGAAACAAGGCCATATTAATCCCTTGAATCCTCCAGTACTTCTCCAATGGTTTAAGAACTTTTGTAAAAATGTGGGGCACTGTGGAGCCAAACGGAAGGACCGTGAAAACAAAAAAATCGGAATGAACTGTCCCCTTGAAATTTCCAAAAAAACCCAAAAAAACAATGGTAATTTGGATGAATCTCAATATGGTGATATCCACCCTTGAGATCAAACGAAAACATGAATGATCCTTTATGGAAATAAGAAAGAGCTACTTTCCAGTCCTCGTATTTAACTTTCTCCTTTTTCAAAAAATAGTTCACGTATCTTAAATCAAGAATCGATCTTTTCTTCCCACTGCTTTGAGCCGAAACACGTACTTAGAGGGTTAACAATAAATGCGGGCGAATTAACTTCTAAAACGCGTTGACCACGGACTAACTCCATGATGGACTCTTCCACAAATTTAGCATGAAGTGGAGAACTCTTATTGTTCTTTAAATGAGCCCTGGTAGGGGATTCTTCAAAAGGCAATATCTAGCCCTCCTTGATAAGGTCTAAAATAAATCTTGAAGTTCCTATATTAACCCAAAAATCTAAATGCCTCGCCAAATTTCCTTTAACATCCACACCTTTAACAATTATTATGCTCACTTCGTACTGGTCTCAGAGAAAGTACTTCCTTGTCCTGATTTGGAAGGTGAGGGAGTGCCGGTGTAAAAGAAGCCTGAGCAATTTGTATGGGCTCCTTGCCATAGTTGCTGCCATCCACCTCTGCAGGTCTTGGCCCAGTGACCACTCCTGCCGCATCGAAAGCATCGCCCGCTCTGAACATGTTCTGAATAGCCTAAAATAACAATAAAAGTGATAACAAACTAAATTCTTCTTAGAAGCACGGGTGGGTGGGAGGGGAACACGTTGCAATAAAGACTGCGAAAGTGAGTAACGAACCTTGAATAATAATCGCTTATATGTACTACTAGCTGCTCCCAAGGGAGAAGTCTCTGAATGATACCCTTAATGAACTATACACGCTTAACTGAACGTACTAAAGACTCCATAACAATAGAAAATACATTTACGTTCTAATTCGCAGGCTCAAACGAACGTAAATTATTTTCTACCTAAATTCCGTCTAAATATAAAACAAGACAACAAATGATGGTTGGATGCTCAGGCAGTCAACCCACGTGAGATTAACAAAGCACCACGTCAAATAAACCAAAACGGTCTTACCACGAAAAAGCTGATTATCACCAGAACCCTTAAATCTCTTGGCAGCAGATTGAGACTTCTCCATTCAAGAAATACTTTCCAATAATTTTTGCTAGCAAAATAAATATTTCCTATCCAAAAAAAATTTAGCCGTTTTTGACCATAAAACAGTTAGTATAAGCCTTTTTCGATTTTAAAAACGTTTTACAGGGAACAAAATTAATTTAAAAAAGGAAGATGCCACATTTGCTTGTGAGATTGTTAACGATGTAGCTCAAAATCACATTCCCAGGAAAAAATTCGTACAAAGAACAGTTATTTAGAAAAACAGACTCCGTCGGCTCCTCCTGTCACTGAGCTATAACATCATCGCTTTGCAATCCATCTAAACCTTCAAGGATTAACCATTGGAATAACTTCGAAACAATTATTATTTTTTGTTGTCTTTTTTTAATTGAGCCTCATTGTACTAGAGGAGATCGCAATAACGTCATATATGTTCTTTTTTAAAAGCATCAAAATCTCCAGTTAGATGTCATATTTGAGTTGCTTTGTCTACTTTCAGTCGCACGATTGTAAATCTCACTTTTAATTGCCTACATCACTATTTTAAGATTGACTTTACAATTTGAGCAGTCCATAAATATGAAAAAAAATTGAAAAGAATATCTCCTATCAATGGATCCACCATTTTGGATACAGCCCGTATAATTTCGTCGACATCTTGAAAACATTTCGTCTAATTCTCCCTGGCGCTTCTCGAAAGCTGTCCCGTACCGATTTAGCCCCCAATAAAGAATATATATGCTCCGCGGTGCCTGGTGATCTGGGAAGTGAGTAAAAAAGGCAAGCGGGTAGCGAAGCCATTTGTGTTGCAAAGTATGATGTTAGTTGAAGTACTCGTTCTTATTAGAGACACTAAAACTTAGTCCCAGGGTCTGAATGGGGTTAAATGACTAGCGACAAATCTGAACAAAATTTGCTGACTACCGACGAGAACATATATACTGACTGGCTACATTTTCCATAAAAATAAATATTTTTAGGAAATATTTAAAGATATTAGCTTCTTGAATACAAGTTTTTTGTATTTTCAAGCAACTACATTCGAAGGTTTCAGCGGAAAAATAAATTTTGCTTCAGATTGGCTTCTTGAATTGTTGATGAGACATTCTAAAACTTTGAGTGGCATCCAATTGACCAAGGATTCAACTGCTGGCATTTTAGTAAAAAGCATTCTGTTGAAATAACGCATCGTTTTAGATGCATACAAACTTGAATTTTAAATGACTACCGACATTGAGACCCACCCTATTTCTGTGAGCCATTTTTACATTCTCTAAGTAGAAACGGCAATAATATTTCTATTCTTGCTTAAAAAAAACAAAAACTGCTCAAGTGGACTGTTGAATTAAAACGAAAATAAAAAGTAAGAGAATTACCATCATGCTTTGCACAAAATGACGTCGCTGCACATTGCCTATTTGGGCGAAATGCATGAACACAAATGACTTATAAAAGCCAGAGTAACATTTGAGTGACTTTCGAAGCGTTACTGATGATCTAAATGGGAGTTTCCCTTCTTTTTAACGTGACTTGTCACTCGTGTTCGTACAATGACAGTTTTATGAACAAGTTGGTGAATAAGAAAAACTTATCATCGGTTATCGATCTATTTCTCACTCCTATGTTTCCGTTTGGTTTAGGCTCATAAGAGCTCCTGTCTATGACCGATGGCAGCATATTTGTTTTACATGGGAAAGTTCCGATGGCCAAACAATTGTCTACTACGACGGTGAAGAAGTTGCCAAAAGGTCGAGCTTCAACAAAGGTCACGTGATAGAACCTGGTGGCGCTCTCATCATTGGACAAGATCAGGACAAAGTTGGAGGGGGTTTCCAAGTAAAGGACAGTTATGCTGGCAAGCTGACGGGAATTAACATATGGAAAAGGGTACTAGGACCGAGTCAGATATCTGCTATGTCAAAATCTTGCGAAAACACAATAGATAGCTATGGTAACCTCTTGACGTTTTTTGACGTTTTATTTAACGGCATTAGATATGGTCAAGCAGAGATTGTCAACATATCAACATGCAATAGATCACCAGGTAAAGTTTGATAAATCTGTGTGATAAAAAAGAAATTAGCTGTGCTGAGATGATGCTTCGATGCGGAAATATTTATATATCATTTTTAACCCTATCTAGACCGGGCTTTTTTTGCTTGTTTTGTCCGAGGGGCTTAAAGCCCCACTGAAAAGACCATTCCAATGGTGAATTTGTAAACAATATGTCCAATAAAATACTCGTTCCCAAATCTTGAAAACATACCTGTGACAAATCGGTTACTATGGAAACAGCAAAAATGACAGACATTCATAACCAACATAGAAATGTTTCCAGATAAATGTTAGGGAAAGTCATCAAGTTTGGTGGTCCTAGCTTTCCTGGTTTGGGAAAAACGAGCTGTTAAAGTTCGGTAGGGGCTCAAGCCTCCCCCCGGTCTAGACAGGGTTAATTGTTGTTATTTTTATTTCATTTGTTTTACATCATGCATAGCTTAAAAAACTGGTAAGTCTTCCGCAGTATCTTGGTTACGGATTTCCAAGTGACCGTTTGATCATCTCAATGGTACTCCAGCTCTTCTGCAATCAAGAACTTCAGTGGAAACAATTATAAAAAGCTTAAATTTTCATTTTATAGCGCAGCTTGCGTGGAGTTTAATGGAAATAATGCAATGCGGTCGTATAATACATGATGCAGTAATAGCTGTATAACAAACAAACTTCATCATTAAAAATTGCTTTAATTTGCACGGGAATTTTATATTCGTTTGATTTTGAATCTGAAATCTCACTCGTCGCTACGCTTACTCGTTTGAGTAAACTCGCAAGTCAGCACTTTTTAAGGAAGAAATCTATATATTTTTGTGAAATCATTTTTCCTGTTATTTCTCACCAGAAATCTCCGCAATCAAATTTAGTGGTAATACAGTGGCCGACTATATCAAAGTTATAAGGACATTACCTCAAATGACAAGTCTAACAGCGTGCGTTTGGATGAATAATGCTCATGGATCAGTGCTAAGCTACGCCGTGACATACAGACCTAACGAAATTCTAATCGGGGATACCGACGCGCAGTCCAGAACTTTGAATCTGTGGATTGGAGAGAAAGAATTGTAAATACCAGAAATTTGATATTACAAGAGGAAGATATAGAGAATATTACATGGGTGCGCAGTGATACGGATTTTATCAGTTTTATCAAAGAGTGTTTCTAAAAGATTTTCGGCACGAGAAGATAAGATTGTTATCTCCAAGAGACCATGTAATATTCTGTTAATCGTATAATTACATATGAAAGCAAATTATGCTGTAAAATACATTTTGTATTACTTCCACACTATATAGAGAAACCTCGAATGTGTTACTTCTACAACTAATATGTTATTTAAGCGATTGAAAATATCAGCTTTATGAAATGGAGAAATATAGATATCTCATAGATAATTATATGATAAAAAGAATTTGGATTCTTTAGGTATTAACATACCTTTTTGATAACCGAATTAATAAATCGCGGCTTTTGCAGTTTCACGTAAAGCATTGTGATCAGCGATTTTTCTACTGTGAAGTCGCTGACTTGGAAACAGTTTGAGGTTCAATATTAGGGGATTTGCTATCAAAATGACTTAGAAACAATATATCGGTTTCTTAATTCGGTGCATCAGAAGGTTCTAATTAATTCTTTGTCTCTTTCCTTATCCCTTTGCGCAATCATGTATATATCAAACTGACCTTAAATATCATGTGATAAGTAACCCGTCACGCGTGTTTGTATGAATTATGACAGTTGTACGAACAAGTTGGAAAACAAGAAATGTTGATCATTGTTTATCTTTTTCTCACCCTTATTTCCGTATGGTTTAGCAACACGGGAGTTTTTGTCTATGACCGTCAATGGCACCATATTTGCGTTACATGGGAAAATTCCGATGGTCAAATAATTGTCTACAACGATGGTCATCAACTTGCCAAAAGGTCGAACTTCAACAAAGGTCACACGATAGAATCTGGCGGCACTCTCATCATTGGACAGGATCAGGACACATTTGGAGGGGGTTTTCAATTAAAGGACAGTTATGCTGGCGAGCTGACGGGTGTTAATATGTGGAACAGGGTACTAGGACCGAGTCAGATATCTGCTATGTCAAAGTCTTGCGAAAGCACAAAAGATAGATCTGGGAACGTCTTGACGTTTTTTGACGTTTTACTTAACGGCATTATAAATGGTCAAGCAGAGATTGTCAACGGATCAACATGCAAGAATTCACCAGGTAAGATTTGATATACTTGTTTATTTGAAAATGAAATTGGCTGTGCAGCCGATGATGCGGAACTATTTTTTTTCTATTTTATTGTTGTTGCTGTTTACTTTAATTTTTTTGATATCATGTCCAATAGGATTCTTTAGTGATGTACACGCCGGAACCGAAGGGGACCGGACAACGTGCAAAACCCCTGTGCCAGTTCTATAAATATATTTCTTTTTAGCTTAGTGATCATGATGATTTAGTTTGATTTCCATCTCAAAGTAATAGAGTGCAAGAGTGGATCTAAAAACATAATCGGATGATTGCCAAAACAAAAAAATTCTGCAATGCATTGCGACGCATATTACTTAGGATCACTCGAACATTAGGTTATCATCGGGAGCCCAGGGGTAATCTTCTGTCGTTCTTTCTTCACTCCCAGAAAAAAAAATACCCCTGGGCACAAAGTCTATTAGACCTTGGTCTCGATTCGAAATTCAAGGCTTGGTTACAAAAAAGGAGTTAGCAGTCTCTTTCACATCTTGATCTCAATCTCAGAGAATGGAATCCTATTCGTCGAATTTACGTTCCTTGGAAAATGTAAAATTCCATGTATTTTTTTCCAATTCGTTAGGATGTCACCCAAACATAAGTAATCTCATCGCAACAAACCAGAGTAAAGAGATCATAAGACCGTTGCTGCCAACCAATTCATCATCTGGCCAATTTTGTACGTGGCTGATCACAGCACCGTTACAATATGCAATTGTTCTCCAGTTCAGGAACTTCAAGATAGATGAAACCGACAATTGTGATGAGAATTATTTGTCGGTGCGAGATGGCAATAGTTCAACCAGTCCATTATTGATGAAGCAGTGCGGTGTCGACTACAAATGTTCCGTTGTGTCGTCTGGTCGTTACATGTGGATAAGATACAAGATTGCCGGTACTGGGCGGATTAATAACTTTCTGGCAACTTACGTTGCTGTAAGTCAAGGTAACTGTAGGCATTTAGAATATAAATTTATGGAATAAGACCGTTTCTCTCTGTTTTGATGATAGACAACAGATTCATTTGCGCAGAGACCTTTAAAAACAAACAAGCAAGCAAACAAACAAACAAAGAATGCACGAAAAAATGTTGATATTACAAAAGTGCAAGAAATTTAGATCTTTTTCGATTTGGGGCTAAACGTGCGTTTCCACAAGACGCAGAATGTAAATCTTTGGGAATACAGGTTTTTAGCCACAAATTGAATAAAATACAGATTTCCAGAGCTATCGTAATGCCGACATTTTTCCGTTCTTAATTTCTTTTTGTTTGTGGAGAAGTCTCTGTGCATGAAAGGCTGTTGTCAGTTAAAACTGCGTTCTTCGCTTTAAATAGGACATTTGCCTGATGGCGCAACTTTACTACAACTACCAGAGAATCTCGCGCACTTTCATTTCATTTTGCAAAATTGATTGCAGAACGTTGATTTAGATAGTTTGTCTATTCTGTTCTGTGTCTCAAGATACATCCAAATTATATCCAACAGGTTGGGCTGCTAGGAAATATAGTCCAATAAAATTAATTAGCAGCAATTCTACTGAGTTTCTCCAAGTTTCTATAACCAAAGACGATCTCAAAAGAAGTATTACTAACTGCACATGGGTCTATCAGGTGCCGGAGGGAAGTTATTTAAACATCGAAATATTATTGACATCTACTGAGAAACAAGGCTGTTCCAATGAACGATTAGATGTCATAGATGGTCGAAGCGGAAAGCTTTTGAAGTCCAAATATTACAACCTGGCGGAAAAAAACGAAATATTATCATTCTTTGGACGCTACCTGAC